ATCGACCGCATCACGACTGGTAGGTAGTTACCTGGAAAAAGCGCCGGCAGCCGGACGTTTCCACGCCCCCATCATCCGCCGGCGACGCCGTGGCGCGTTCTTCGGGTACGCCCTTCTCGACGTCCAGCAGCGGCGCCTCCTCTGTCGCCTCGCAGCTGGACGCGTTGCACGGCGTCGAGGAGATCCACTGTGCCATTGGGGGAAGAGAGACGGCGACGAGCGGGGCTTTACCCTAACTTTTTCCACACACGAGTTTACTCTGGAAACCTAAATCGAATCGCGTGCGAGTTAGTATCGGAGACGTGAGCACCGTGTAAATAATCACTGTATTTCTCAATTAGGGCTTTAAATACGCACGCATGGGAGGAGATAAGAGGCAGCTGGCAGGGCAAACAAGGAAAGTTAAGATGATCAAGTAAGGGGGTGTTTGTTTACATGGACTTTTTTATGTAGGGACTAGAAAAAGTCCCTCTTAAAGACTTTTTAACCTAACAGAAAGTATTATTAGGGATTAAAAAGTTGCTTTTGGGGACTAAATGAAGAAGACTCTCAAGGAGAGTCTTTTTGCGGACTTTTTGAGACTTTTCCAACAATGTCCCTCCCTGCATCCATTGCCCCGCCGCCCCATGGTGTTGTTTTTTGTTATTTTTCTGTATACTAGGGGTAACATGGTTATTTAATAACCTCTAGTGAGAGACTAGAGACTTTTTAGTCCCTGAAAACAAACAGGGTGAGACTTTTTAGGGACTAGAGACTTTTTAGTTGGGACTAGAAAAAGTCCTAGAACTTATGAACCAAACATGACCTAAATCACGCAGAACGTATATAAGGGATAAAAACAGAACCTTGGTTCAGTTTTTTTCTCTCTCTGAACACTGTACAATGGCAGGTACTCATATACACGTACATACATTTACCCAGAAATAAGAACCTAGACAGCCACGAGACGCTCACAGCGATTTGGCACATTCGGTCGTCCATTTTGTTTTCTTGATGCGATCTGGGCCGTCGGATCAAGCCACTGGAGGACTTCGGCCGTTGGATCGAACTGGAGACCCTGTAGCAATGAATAGTTAGCTCCCGCGGTAAAAGATCTTGTGCCACTACGCGTGAATTTGTGCCGCGCCGAGGGTATTTTTGTCTTTTCACGTGTCCGTCCATTGAGTGTTGGTTGCTGGTTGGCCCGTGGTTGGATGAGACGAGGGAGGGCGACTGCTGCCTCTTCGTGCTCCCATTCGCCTCCCACCCCCCTCGCGCATTCATCCTCTCGCCTCCCTCACGCCGCCACCCCTTCCTCCTCACCTCCCTTGTCCCGCCCTCCCAGCCATGTCTCTTCTCTCCATCGCAGGTCGTGAAGCCGCTGCACTCCTAGTTAATTATGCATGTAATTGTTTATTTTGGTGTGTGCAAATGTCATGTATGCACTAACCACCTATGTAATTAGATGTTTAATTTGGTTATGCAATCATGTCCTTATAAGTATATCAGTTTTGTTAAAACATATCTACGATGTGCCATAAGTGCAACTATAAGTTGTTGTTCTGTGGACAGAGCAAATCACATTGCACACGTACCAAATTAGGGAACACGTTGGTGATGATTTCATCAATCGTTGATAATTGTATACCAGCAAGCGTTTGCCCACAACACACACGACTTATTAGCAGCAATCGTCTGTGTTATTATCGGTCACCGCACGCATTTCTAATTACGGACATGTTTGCCGTGTATCTCGCACATCTTGTTAAGTTGAACTGTTTCTGTTGTCTTGGCTGATCGCAAACAGTTCATCCGATTGAACTATATGCCGTCTATCACACACACCTTGATTTAACTGGCCGTTTCTGTTGTTTTCGCTCATCGCAAACACTTTATCCGAGTGAACTGTATGTCGTCTATCGCACACACCTTGATTTGACTGACCGTTTATGTTGCTTTCGCTCATCGCAAACACTTTATCCGAGTGAACTATATGCCGTGTATCGCACACATCTTGATCTGGCCGACCGTTTTTGTTGTGTTGCCTAATCGAAAACAATTCATCCAAGTGAATTGTATACCGGCTATCGCACACACCTTAATATGGTTGACTGTTTCAGTTTTTTGGCTCATCGCAAATAGTTCATATGGACCAACTGTATGCCACGTATCGCACACACAACTCTAATCTGAATAGTGTTTGATGTCTCTGTCATCGCACACAGTCCATCTTATTAGAGACGGTTTATTATAACACCGTTTGCGATTAATGCATCGCTCACAGTTTGGTCAAAGGGTCTCTGATTCATGTGTCTCGATAGCAGCACCCTGCAGTGGTGAATATTCACTACTTTTATATCTCTTAACATGCATGCATGTAAAATCCTACATATATTAGTTCTCTCAACATGCATACATCTCATTTCATCGACCTACTATTTTTAGTTTCTCTGAACATACATAAGAAATATAATATAGTGCAACAAATTTGACATGGGAGAAGTCCGTAAAGAGATATCTAAAGGATTGGAGTATCATCAAAGAAATAGCTATGGATAGGGGTGCGTGGAAGTTTGCTATCCATGTGCCCAAACCATGAGTTGGTTATAAGATCTTATGGATTTCGCCTCTAGCCTACTCCAACTTATTTGGGACTAAAGACTTTGTTGTTGTTGTTGTTGTTGTCGTTGTTACATAAGATTTTGTTACATAAGAAACATAACTTTTATTTCATAAATATTTTACAACTATTAAATAATCAAATACAATAAATCATATGTATTTTTAATTTACATGGTCATATTCAATTTCAAGACAACAAAATCTCATTAAAATAGTATAGTGCAACCAATTTTCGTGTGTCCCACGCGCATGGTATGATCTAGTTTGTACAGTCTGCGCTTCCTAAAGTACTTCTTCCGCAAAGAAATATAAAAGCGTTTATATCACTAAAGACGTTTTTATATTTTTTTACGGAGGGAGTAGTCAAGGTACTAACTAAGATTAATAAAGAAGACTATTGCGGCATAATTCGGAGAGGTGTTATTGGCATTGACACGTAAGTTGAAGAATATTAGACAGCATGGTAACCGCTTCATATCAGTCTCAATTCAGTGGATCACTTTGTGTGATGTACCAGCAGCGTGCTTTACTATGTGATGCTTATATCAATACAAATGTTTAAATCAATATACTCCTTTAGTCTCAAAATAAGCGACTCAACTTTATACTTACATTATACTAGTAAGATGCCTGTGTTATGCCACGGAACCAGATGGAATGAGGTGAGGGGTAAAGTACGGAACCAAAAATAAGACAGAGATTTTTTAGAGAGTAATCACATTAAACAAGAGTCTTTGTTGTTCAATGACACCCCTAACACAATAGGATTTATGTGGAGCCACAAAATTAGTAAGAGTTCGTCCCGTACAAATTAGGAGGCTTTTAATGCAGAGTTGGTATTCAGAAGCATGCCACAAAATTGTAAGATCTGACATCGACATACCCGAGGGTGGGATGATCTTATACGGCTACCGCCACGCATTTTTGTATCTTGAAATACCAATACTTACTCATACACTACCATAATTTGGCCATCAAACATCCATCCATGGTTTTCCACGTGTTTCATAATCCTTTTCTCTCACTAGATGACTTGTTGCGCCAATGGCGCAAAGGCCGAGAGGGAGCCAAATATTGTGAGAATATTAAACACCCAAGTCGAAAACCAAATGTGGCCAACACTACCTCATCCTTTGCTTGGAAGACGCATTTTCTCACCGGATCTAACACAAATACATGATGCTTCAAGAACAAATTTCAGAGCAAATATAAAGCTCACGGGATCTAACATAGATACATGATTCTTCGAGAGCAAATTTCAGAGCAAATATAAAGCATAGAAAGATTTAAGTTGTACTATTGAGACCATACCACCATATCTTCATTTAGTTTCTTTGAAAATCTAAAGGTCTAAGAGGATGGTACATGTGAGAAGCTGTGAATCCAAAACAAAAAACTAAACTAACTCCCAAACAAACATTTCAAGTTTGGAAGCCACAAAGAAGCAGCCCAGATCTCTCGTTGTAGTGCAGGTACATGTCCTTAATCCTGCATCCACAGCCCATAATTTTTCAACACCTAAATCCACGAAATCCAACCGAAGGAAATCATGGCAGAAACATGCACCGTGGCTTACATCTCCGAGAAAGACTTCTTGGCATTCTTGTGCAGGTCGGACATAGCAATCGCTTGAGCCCATATTTCAGTCTTCTTTAATCTCTAACAAATAACAAAATCTTAAGCTTAAGCATCCACACAAACAGAAAATGCAAAACAAATCTCACACAAAACTGTCCCAAGTCAGATACAGGGGAAACCAAGGTGAGATGATCATGTTTCTTATAGGAAACAATAACCATAGGTAAATACATACATTATTGTCCTGTTAGAAGGTACTTAGTTGTACTTCAAGTGGTACTGAGACATGAAACTAAGCCATTGAAATTTTTGAAACAGAATAGATGATAACACCGGTGTAGGCCATGAACAAAAATACAAAGAAGAACATAATCAAGCATAACCCACCTCGACTGAAGCAACGGTTGATCAACAGCAGGAACCTGAACCTCGTGATGCTAGACCATATATCTATGGTTACCCTTTTTATTTCTCTTGCCTAACCTGAAGTAGTTATCTGGACAAAATAGGGAGGCACACTTCAACAAATCAGTTCTTAGTAATTATAGAATGCCCTATATTAAAGGAAGTAAAATCAAGCATGTATGTGCTCTAACTTTCATAACTGCATGTAAACTCGGCAACTAACCATTTGTTGATAGCTTAGGTAAATTACAGGCATTAATCATGCAGCCTGAAGGGTGCATCAAGACTTATCTGAAGTTTGATACAATGTGCTTTCTATGTGAAAGTTGTTCCTTCTAACCTGAATAATTTGTTTGGGGGGATTTCCTTAAAATTTTCCCAAAGGAATATAAAACATTTAGTTTGGCCACCAGGGTTTATATGTTCGACGATGTACAACAACATCTTCCTTGCTTTCCCCGACATTGCCACATGCCACCCTTCAAGATGACAGTAGAGGGATGATTCTTCAACTGAAGATGAAGAAATGAAGGAAAAGCAAAAGTTTACACAAGACATTCGACATACACCATTCATGTATGGAGCCTGGAGGGACCCTCTTCTCCACTTCTCTCGACTCACTACTGGCATTGTTGACTCACACCTTGCATCCGAGCCTGGATATATGGAAGAGCGGAAATGAGCTTGTATACTGGTAAATGGCAGTTGACACCACACATATCGGCCGACCACATGAAACAGCTAGAACAGACTGGCCGGCCATAGCGAATAGGGTAAATAGAATAATGTACATATTGTAAAAGACACCACCAGCATGGATTCTAAGAAATGGATTGGAAGATCTCAGGAAACACAATGTTCCTGGTCTGAGAATCAGTAGTACCATCTTCATTTTCAATCAGGATTTTCAAAGCCTTTTTTGAGGTCACACGCGACACTGCTACATAAAGCTGGCCATGCGTGAACACAGGTGCATTAAAGTATAGACCAACACTGCATAACACAATGTTCAGTACGTTCAGACAACAACTTCTGTCCAAAGGAAGTGGTGAGTGTAACCAAATAATCAGTTTCAGTAGGCTTTCATAAACCTCTCCCCATATGTAATAATAACACTAACCTTAGGTACATCATCGTCGCGAGCTAGATCTTCAGTTGAGGTATATCTTCAGTGACAATAATACAGACACAACGTGCAGGAAAATCCGTGAAGCAACAGAAGAATTACCCAACTGTTTTTACCATAAACATAAAAGGAATCATGGCATTAGTAAGCAAAGGGAAATTAGTGCGTTGCCTAATAAACAGCAAAATAATGTAGCAAACCAAAAAGGGACCTGCCACCAATTGGTAAAAGTTTCTCCGCCTAATTTTGAAAAGCGTATGCAACAGATTTGTAGCTATCCCAAGATGCCTAAAACATATGCAACAGATACGTAGCTATCCCAAGATGAAAGACAACAAAAAATGGCAGAAATACCTGCTTGTTGAACAATAAAAGCACATTTATACCATACTTTATGTGTGGCACATATAATCACCACATAACACAACAACTACTATTAATGCAATTAACAAGCACCAACCATTGGTTCTTTCTAACCAGATCAGGTTAATTGCATGTGAGAATAGCACATCAGTTCTGAAAGTAGGATCTTCTGTGTAAAGAGAAAACACTAAATGAACTAAGGATTCATAAATTGATTGAAGAGAAATAACATTAAAAGAAGCAAGAACTTGTCAATTGATTGAAGGAAAGGCAATCAACTGAAATATAGCAGACATACGAATAAAATGCATTTTGTAGCCTAAATTACAGATATTAATATGCCATCTCCCAAAGAACTATCTGAAGAGGGACAAATAAGCACACCCCTGCTAATATATAATTTAGAAGGTGTAAGTATTATGAAATAATTAATTCCAGTAGGCCTTCATAAACCTCTCCCCACCAAACCGTCCCTCTATGTGTACGGAGTAACTGCCACTTAATACGTGTGTCAACCATGGCTGTAGGCACAATATTCATAATGAGCAGCTACAACTACTACGTGATGCACACATTTCGCCCAAAGCACTAACCCGAACATGTACTGCCGAAAACAGGGGACACACATGTTTGCCCAATCAGCAAACAGAAAGCAAATCACCAGGGTAAACATAAGCAAACAAGAACATGCTACTATTAATGCAATTAACAAGCACCAACCATTGGTTCTTTCTAACCAGATCAAGTTAATTGCATGTGAGAATAGCACATCTGTTCTGAAAGTAGGATCTTCTGTGTAAAGAGAAAACACTAAATGAACTAAGGATTCATAAATTGATTGAAGAGAAATAACATTAAAAGAAGCAAGAACTTGTCAATTGATTAAAGGAAAGGCAATCAACTGAAATATAGCAGACATACGAATAAAATGCATTTTGTAGCCTAAATTACAGATATTAATATGCCATCTCCCCAAGAACTATCTGAAGAAGGACAAATAAGCACACCCCTGCTAATATATAATTTAGAAGGTGTAAGTATTATGAAATAATTAATTCCAGTAGGCCTTCATAAACCTCTCCCCACCAAACCGTCCCTCTATGTGTACGGAGTAACTGCCACTTAATACGTGTGTCAACCATGGCTGTAGGCACAATATTCATAATGAGCAGCTACAACTACTACTTGATGCACACATTTCGCCCAAAGCACTAACCCGAACATGTACTGCCGAAAACAGGGGACACACATGTTTGCCCAATCAGCAAACAGAAAGCAAATCACCAGGGTAAACATAAGCAAACAAGAACATGCTACTATTAATGCAATTAACAAGCACCAACCATTGGTTCTTTCTAACCAGATCAAGTTAATTGCATGTGAGAATAGCACATCTGTTCTGAAAGTAGGATCTTCTGTGTAAAGAGAAAACACTAAATGAACTAAGGATTCATAAATTGATTGAAGAGAAATAACATTAAAAGAAGCAAGAACTTGTCAATTGATTGAAGGAAAAGCAATCAACTGAAATATAGCAGACATACGAATAAAATGCATTTTGTAGCCTAAATTATAGATATTAATATGCCATCTCCCCAAGAACTATCTGAAGAGGGACAAATAAGCACACCCCTGCTAATATATAATTTAGAAGGTGTAAGTATTATGAAATAATTAATTCCAGTAGGCCTTCATAAACCTCTCCCCACCAAACCGTCCCTCTATGTGTACGGAGTAACTGCCACTTAATACGTGTGTCAACCATGGCTGTAGGCACAATATTCATAATGAGCAGCTACAACTACTACTTGATGCACACATTTCGCCCAAAGCACTAACCCGAACATGTACTGCCGAAAACAGGGGACACACATATTTGCCCAAAGCAAATCACCAGGGTAAACATAAGCAAACAAGAACATGCTGCAAGAAGCAATCAAGCGTGGAAATGAGAGCACATCTAACCTTGCTGGCTAACGACACAGACTTGCTGGCTAACAACACAGACGACGAACAACTGAACAGGAAGGGAAACAAGCAAACAAGAACCTTTCAGCTCACAAGCATTTGATTAGAGATTAGCAAGAAAGACCATATCTCAACAACAACAACAACAAAAGAAAGAACAACAATTAGCAAACCCACTTGGCTAAGCAGTGTATCGTAGATAGCCATGAGGCCACTCTGGCCGACGGCAGCGTAGGCCTTCCCATCCAGGTCGAACTGTGGGTTCTGCAGATCAGCGAAACTGCAAGCAAGGAGAATTATCAACACACAAGTGACGATAACCAGAGGCAATGACCGTCAGTAAACTGCTGTGAGAAAAAACTCTTTGCAACCTGCTGTCGATGAGCTTTCGGTACATGAGCCTCTACCTCCCGATGCCGACGGCGCCGGAGGTGACCAGAATCACCTCATACCCCTAGAAATTAAGCTCACCTGAAACAGTTACACATATTTACTGATTAGCAACTGTTAGAATGATTTTTTACAGGGTTAGAAAGCTCCTTGGTCAGAAAATTCAGTTACCTGCTCGCAGAGGGCTCCATGGCCAGTCGACCATTCTACCCGCTGACAACAGCGGTGCTAACCTGGATGCACGAGAAAGTGATTAGATGAATGCGGTGAACAGAACACCGATTTTCTTAGCGAATAAGCAAATTATTTACTTGATTTTTTCTACTTTGCAAGACAACCAAAATTGGCTAACAAGTTGTAAACTAACTTTAGAAATCTCTTGCTGCCTAAACATATGAAGTAATTCCTCCTCGCCTCTTCACCTCCATTTTTTCACTCAGGCACATGTTTGTCAAGAAACCAAAAGGAATCTAACCTAAGGCAGAAAATAGCTTGCAGCCACACAAGCATTTTATCGAGCAGGTCAAGAGCATGGGAAAAAGAAGAGGCTCACCTAGGAACAAACACAGTGAGCAAACGAAGAGCACCCAGATCCTTGCCCAAATCACAAGCAGAAATTACCCTCTTCACAGGGTGGATCACATCACGACCCTGCATCAAGAAGAGAAAGAGAAGTGAGACCAGGAGAGGTGGATGGAATCAGCCACAACCAAAATTAAGCCCTCCCGGAGACCAGAGCCGCTACATGGCCACCGGGATGCCGGATGCGCTCCCAAGTCGACCTGTGCCATGGTCGTCGTCGCGCCATCCATCTCGATCTGAGAAACGCCACCGTGGCGGCAAGAAACCAACGGGAACGGGAGAGCGGCTAGCAAGAGCCCCACCCCTCTCGCCCGTGCGCCTCCCCTCGCTGCACCGCTTGCTGCCGCCCAACCCCCCACCGGCCACGGCGAAGATGGTCCCACCGCCGGGCATGCGCCGGTGCCGGGTCGCCGGCCGCAGCTCCGCCTTGCGCCCGGCCCCGTCCGGACGCCGTCACAAAGACGGCTCGGCTCGTCACCACCACACGCTCCCGCGCCAGATGCAGGATGTCGCACGGGCGGCCATTGAGCGTCGTAGCTAGGCGTCGTCCGAGAGGTAGAGGAAGAGGCATAGAGGAGGCCGGCGGTGAGGCATGAGAGGAGGCGGCGGTGGATGGGGAATCAAAGAGGAGGGAGAGGGGAGTGAAGCGGGGAACATGCACTCATGACCCACCCACCCCGGTACCGAGAACGTGGGGAGAGGAGGACCATCTTTCCTGGAAAGAAATGTCTCTACGACTCTCCCTCACCCAGAACGAGCCACCCATTACATTTACATGTGGGACCAAAAGAGCAGAGGGACACCGAAACAGCTAGGTAGATGAAGAGCGAGTAGAAAAGCAGAATTGCACCCCACGTGACCCATCCCACGCCGCGTCGCACGGTCCCTGGCAGGCAACACAAGCAAGCGCACACCTCCCAAACACCCAAAACGCTGCCATACGGGACCACCCCGAAGCAGGGGCCACCAACACAGCTGGGTATAGACACGGCGGGTAAAAAAGCAGCGACGCACCATCCACCCACCCAAGTCTCGCCTGGTCAGCAGGCACGCGATCCCTAGCCTATCGCTTTGCACGGAAGGAACCAACCAACCAACAACTGGCCACCCAAAAGACCGACAGTTGGGCCCATCATGGCTGAAACAGAGGAGTCGCAGCCGGGTCTAGGCCAGGACGGTAAAAAATATTCATCCCACCCCGCACCCTGCCACCCACGTTCACCGCTAGCGCACGCGCGCGACAGCCGCAGTAGAAGCTGAATTGCTGGCCCCGCGCACAAGAGTGGCCCAGCCGTCATTCGGTCTAACTCAAGCAACCAACGTACAGAAAAACGGACGTCAGGATGTTTGACAGCAAGATTAAAAGGACCAAACAGGTACAGTGCAGGGTAGAATGTGCGCACCGGATTCATCCGAGTCCGCGATGGCGCTAGAATAGCGGGTACTCTAGGAGGCTTTATATGTTAGATGTGTATTGCTTCATTACTGACTGAACTCAGTGTATTACATGCTGATTAAGACAATGTGAACTATGCTTACAACTACAAACTATTTGAGGTGCAAATCAAGCCTTCATTTTGAGCATATTATTAGTTTTCTACTATCTCTAATCTAAAAGGTTATATATGAACCTTTTGTACATATATTCTTGCACCTGTTTTCAGTCACCCGGCAATATCTTTTACATGAACCTTGTACCATAAGT